AGAGCAACGCGACACCTCAAATTGGAGTCAATTAGCTTTTCTGAACTCCACTGGTTGCCTCGCTGAGTGCAGCAAAGAGTACATGACCGAAACTATGAGAAGCCCCTTGGGACGATAAATATTATCCCCTGACTTGCCTCGCTATCCCGACAAAATGCTACTTGGCCGAAACTGGGCGTGCGCTCTCAGGGCAATGAGTATTATCCCGAACTCTGAGCAGATGGCGGCCGCGGCGCGCCAGCTCCGCACGGAGCGTCCGCCGGCGCGCTGAAAGCCTGCCGTCAGACCGGTCTGAGCCGGTCGGGGCGTCGCAGTCGCCGTCAGTGCGCATGCGCCAGCCGGTGACCTCGAGCCGGTGAAGGGTGTTGGCGACTCCCCCCCCGCAGTGTGGTTCCTGAGCTCGCTTGAGGGAGGGGTCTATGCTTGGCTCCCGTAGGTCTGCAGCTGTGAGCGGTCCCTCATCTGGCAACTCCTCGCGAAATGGTAGGTGACATTGTGGGCGTGATGGCTGTGATTTTTTAGCGTATTGTGGACGTTCGATTGCTGTCGTCAAGATTACGGTGCGGCGCGCGGGGCCGAGACTGGCGCTTTCACATTTGAGGCACGGTGTGATTGTGATCGGCCAGCGCCACCTATCGGCGCATCATGCCGAGAGGTCTGCCCGCGGGCTGCAGCGCTGTGTAGCCTGGCGCTTGCGTTGTCACGGCTGCAGCTTGAGCGCTCTGATCGGCGGCCGTGGTCGTCACGCGCGGCACGAAGGAATGCTTCCACAGTCCTTTGCGTTGTACCACGCAGGGTCCCCTTGAAAACCGTAAGAATTTTGAGTTTTTTTTTGTTCGTCTGCTCCATTGATCTGGTAGGTGCTCGCTATGTGAGCTTTCAAAGTGAATGTCTTTTGAGATCGGCCGGCCCTAGGACATCGTTTTTTTCATTCTGATAAGCTGATCGGCCCAACACGATGTTGCCCTGTCGGTGCTGATTCGCCCCATTGTGTGTGTGTGTGTGTTTATTTAGTTGGTTACGCCTGCGTGGCTGCATGACCCCGTTTTGGCGACGTTTCCCCTTTGAAAAAGCAGCGACGGTTGTGGTGCCATTCCCCTGGGTACTAATTAGGGCCTGCTTCTGTGATCCGTCTTTCGGAGGCCGCAGCCCTGAGCGGGACCCGAGGCTCCGTCTCCATACGCCAAGATCTTTTGTTCTTTGTCCTGGGTGGCGTTGGATCAGCTTTTGCAGAAGGATGCCCATTTCTCACAGGCTGAAGCCCACCCCCCCTAGTCAGAGAGCTCCTTTTGTTCCCTACATGGTCGTTTTCGAATTCTAGATGCCCTTTTCGACTTGTAGTTTCTATGTATAATTCGGGGCCTCTGTGAAGGTATGGGGGACTAGTCTCTTCTCCCATATGACCTGCGTGAATCTAGGATCATGAAGGTGATCTGCACGAAGCACGAAGGTGATCTGGGTCCTGCGTGAAGGTGTTCGCTCGACTGTCGCTCCACGAATTGCCAAGACCCCCCGCACCAGTGCCCCGCATTTTGCATGGTGTGATTACAGAGTTGGTCTGCTGCGGGTCACGTTGGGTTCAGTACTTCTTAGAACGGGCAGCATTTGCCAGGTGTTGTCGCATGATGCAGATTCAAACGCGTTTAAACTTTTTAATCAGCAGCCGTGTTTAACCAGCCAGTGTTCATCAAGACGCTTCTTGCCTGGGAAAGTCAGCCACGGTCATAGTTCAGCACAGCTACAGCAGGGTGTAAGCTGGATTGTCTCTCGGTCTCTCCACTCACGTTTTGCGTTCGTGGTCTCTCGACGCCACTGGCATGATGCCTCATCACGTCGCATTAAGGTCCATCAGACGCGTATAGTTCATATGGGTCCTCCAAATCGCCAAGCGTGCAGACCATATCGATTGAATTCAAAACCGAAAGCTGACTGTAAACTGTAACAAGCATGAACTCACTTGAAGCGTGGTCGCCACCATGACGGCGCTGGGCCGCTGGTCGTTTGCGTCACGGATGATTGAAACCTTATGCACGCCGCAACGATTCACTGCAGTGCGAATCGAAATTGCTTGAATGGAATAAAAAGACACTGTTATTGAAGCAGATAGTGTGAGATATCATATCCTTTATCGATGAAAGTGTGAGCTGTTATGCCCTTTATCTATATAGCTCCGTGATAAAGTTGGCCGAATAGGTGCGTTGTTCACTGGTGGATAATGTCAGAGCAAATCGTGTTGAAAAACTTTGGTTCGATAATCGCTAGTAGGGGAAAAATAGGTCCGAATTTCGAAAGAGGACAAAGAAAAAGGAACTTAAAAAAACAA